TTTTGAAAGATGAAGCTCGCGATTATGGTAAGGGGCGTTACATTTCCGACGAGTGCTTGCAGTGTTCGGCCAATCACAATGCACTGAGTCAGCTGGCCAATCAGAGCAGACTGCGCTTGTCGGAAGGAGGGACTTTGTAGAAAACGAAGCGTTTGAGAGAGGCGGGGCATAGAGGACCTACAATAATGTACAGTATTTGAAAAATAATGGGTTGTTTGAACATTAAAGCATGTCAACATATTCTGTTACACCAAATACACAAAATAATGATCTTTAAAAAAGCATAATATGACCCCTTTAATAGAATCTTTCTAGGATAAACTGATATACGAAAACCACAAGTGCTGATTCACAGGTTCATGCTGTCTGCTTTGTTTTATGAGTTATGCCTTTGAAATAATCAGTACTTATTACTTTTGGATGGAAAATCCAATAAAGAGCATATAGTGATTGTATCAGTCTGTCTGGAAGAAAGCTGTGTTTACCCAATTGATACAATAAGTTAAAGGAACGTTTGACAGGTTAGCAGCATCAAAGCAAAAGATACTCTGAGTTTTTATCAAAGCACTAAGTAGCAGATAATTAGATATTCCTGAGTACAGCAATATATTCTGCTTTGTTCTGAGTTATATCTGTGAAATGGTCTGTACTTCTTTTGTTTGGACAGATATAGATTTTAATCAAAACATTTTACACATTTTCAGCTTTCTCTCTGTGCTTTCAACCATTCACTGAGACTGCTGTGCCATTATTTCAATTAGTTTTTTACATGCCGCTCTATTATTGTAGTTTAAGGCTGGAAACCCACTGCTTCTTTTTTAAAACCAATAATCAAAAGCAGTTGGAGGATGATGTATGAAATTTAATTATTAATCAGATTCAATTAAATTGTTAAGAAGTGGAATCGTGTTCTTGGAAGGAAAAACTTTCTCAGAAGCTAACAGGAAAACAGAATTTAATTTGAAAGTTCAGACAGCACTTTGTAAAATAGCTGTGACCTACCAGACACATCTCTACTATTTTTATTCTGCTTTTGAGATGCAATTCTATTGAATGAGGAATTGTGAGCTCTGGGGTCAAAAGGCCATGTTCTGTCCAAATGTGAGGTGGGATTGCAAGCATATCGGCTTGCACAATTTTAGATATAATCACCATTACATGGCACATAAAACCAAAACAAACTGGTTGGTTGCTTAAATAATGCAAATAACCCAGGAAATAGCAATATTTCTTTATGGAGTTGTTTTCATACCATTTGCCTATAATACAGCTTCCAACCGTCTTAGAATATATTCCTGCAACTTCTGAATAGTCTCCATTTGAATGTTGTCAATAAAACATCTGCCAGTTGCTGTTGGAGGAAAGAATCAGCTTCTCGTTCTTCTCTCCAAAAGTAGCTTGCTAATATTCAAGTCAGGTGATTTGTCTGGCTAGGGCAGGTGTTGAAGTTCATCTTGGTGCTCCAACTGTGTCGGTTTTATGATTGTGACTCCATCTTTTCACATTTTAGCATTGGCGTCTGTGATTAAAGTTTTAGCAGTTGCAACTCTTTCATGGATGTTGGCTTGTGAAGCTCTCAGTGGTAGGTTTTTGTGGAAACAGGCTCTTCAAGGTGAATATTGAAGTCTGCTCTGAATTTGCAGCAGTAGTTCTGTGTTGTTCGGACACAATCCTTCTTAGTGTTTGACCGTCACTATCATATTTCTTCTTTGCTTATGAAGTCTTGCCATACTCTGTGTACGCAGTCATAATCGTTCAGACAGTTGATCTTAAAGCACTAAGCCATTGGGCTGTTAAAGGGATAGTTCACTCAAAAACTGAAAATTCACAGTTGACGAAGAATGTTGGTGTTTGTTTTTTGGCTACCGTCAGCTCTGTGATTATCAACATTCTTCAGAAAATCTTTTGTGTTAAACAGAAGAAAGAGACTCAAACAGGTTTGGAACAACTTGAAGGTGAGTAAATGAAGGCAGAATTTTCATTTTTGGGGGGAACTATACCTTTAAGGATTTTCGTACTAAACGGGCTTCCATGATTTGTCCTTTTTTGGAAGTCTGACAAGTCACCCATTTCACAGAGCACTTGTACTAAACACTGCTGAACACAACTTATACTACACTGAAAGACAAGCTAGAGAATATAGTCAATGAAAAGATTATCACAACATTTGTTTTTGCACTGAAACCTTGTTTTCACCTACACATATGATATTAACCCCTATAATAATGGGTGTTCACATTATTTTGTATATTAACAATGCTTTTCAGTATGTTTATTTCTAATCAACACATCAGCTCTTTTCAGCATTTTGGTTTTTCACTGATTTCTGACCCTTCATTTCTTTTAACTGAAACATCCTCTACCCATTACTCTCTCTGATGTGTTTGTGGAGCACAGAAGTGCAGCGGTTTGTAAAAGCGGCGTAAACTCTGTAAAACACATCAGTCCCATTATTGAGAGACAACAGTGGACTGATGCTGCGCCGTCCCCCTCGTACCGTTCTGGGGAATTGAAGCGATAAATTCTTTCCTCCTCAGACCCTCTCTTTCTCCATCTCTGATTCAGTCCCTGCGATCTCTCTGTTATTTGTAGAACAAATACGATTGTTGTATGTACTGTAGCTGAGAGCTTGTAGAGCTGTTGGCAGTCTGGTGCTGGAGTACATCAGGATCAACTGAGATTTCACAAGAGCTTAGTGAAGAGATCAGACCAGTTTTGGGTCAGGTTGTTCTTTCTACCCTTACCAAAAAGTAGTATACTTTATTAAGTATACTTAAGTAAAATTCAAGTATATTTTTAAGTATACTTTATGTAGCAAGTATACAAATATCAGTGTACTAGTAGTATACTTTTAAGGGTACTATTTCAATACTCCTTGGGACTAAATTGGCCCACTTTCTAGTATATAAAAGTATACTTTAAGTATAACAGTAGTAAACTTTAAGTACACAACTAGTTTACAACAATATTTTTAGCTTGTACTGCAACTATACTAAAAGTGAACACTGAATATATATGAATACTGATTTTCTAATTAAATACTTGTAGTAGCATTTTTAGTACACTTTGAAGTATAGTCTTCCCCCCCCCCCCCCCCCACACACACACACACATTTCTTTATGCTTATTTATTTTTTAATATTGTTTTGATTTTGGGGTGAAATATGTACTCGACAGGTTATGTGAGATTCACCCTATCTCCTATTTTTGGGATTATCCTGGATTGTAATTCTTGTGGGACATAAAATTTAAACCACCCTTGGTTGATTGAATGTAGGTCTGAGTCATATTATATTAGCATCTCTTCCTCTCTAAAGAGTTAGTATATTTTAATCTCTGGTTGAATGAAATAATAGTTGGGGAGATATCAGTCAAAACACTTTTTGATGACCCAGACTGCACTGTGAAAATCATTTTCTTATTCTGTATTTTTAATCTTTTTAAAAAATATATCTAAATATCTTTAAAACATATTCAGTTGACTTGAGAACTAAGTTGGATTTTTGATTTAAACATATTCAAAATAGTTTTCTATGAAAACAAAACTTTGTATTGTACACAGTTTGGCTTCTAAATCTTGGTTAAGGATGTTTCGATATTTTTACTGGACAACAAGCCAAAATGTTTATTATGACTTGAATGATAATTATCATTATGTTTTGAAATCACATTTTTAATCACTTCTGATGTTCTTTAATAAAATATGTTTCAACTTTTTGGATCAGTTTTAACTGGGCTCATAGACGTTGAATGAGATTTTTTTTGGCAGTATATGTGGGGTGTTTTACAAGTCTATTCAGAGCTCAGATATTGCCAATGACAATTAATTTGTAGGTAGATGAAAAGCACATTGGCATGTTTTCTGCTTTCTAATTTCAGTCATTTATTTTTAAGTAATGAGTTTATGATACAGTCTGGTCTTGTTCAGGTACAGTATGACAGAAATAATGAACACAGATGGAAGTGATGCCATTTAGACAGACTGTGGGTGAGCTGTGTGACATGAAAGAGGGGTCGATGTAGGGCATGCAAGTTCAAATCTCCATTTCATTTCCACTGTAGTTTCCTGATTCTTCCTACATGATTACATAAAAAACAGACTGAGAAATTCAAATCTCATGAGGACTGATGTGTTTGTGTCAGTGTTAGAAACACAGAAAGACAGTCTCTTTGCAGCCGTCTGTGTATAGCATAGCACATATTTTGTTTCTCTGTGAAGGAGTACGCAGCCTCTGAAATGAGATGCAGCTTTTATCTCCATAAATGCTTTAGCTTTAATGTGAAAGGTTTTCAGATACCAATAGGAGTTTCTCAGTTTAACACATTTGACTATATTTCAGCTATGTTTACTTTATGCTTTTTAAATAATAGAAAATACATTGTATAAAAAATTTTTTCTGCAGCTGTTTAATTGTCATGGTATTAATATTATAATACAAAAGGATCTGAATGGTCCTCAAATGTGTTTCATTTTCTTTATATATATATATATATATATATATATATATATATATATAAAATGTATTTATTTCTTTATGCTTTTATATATACATGCATGGGTGGAATATGACCATGACATGTTTTTGTGATCTGTGGGAATGAGTTAAAGTTAAAGGAAATATCTAAAGTTTGAGGTTAATGATCAGCAGTTGCTGAGGCCAAATCAGCTGACAGGACACTTTGGCTTTAAAAGAAGGAATCAGTTAAAGAGATACTATAAAGAGTATGCCATGGGCCTTGAGTTATGTGAAAAAAATAGCTGTTAGAGGAAGCAGTTAAGAGGTGATTTCTCATGAAATGTTATTATTGATCAGTGGTAGGATCGACTCTCTTGTCGAAACACTTTTAGCTTTGAAGTGTTCACATGTTGGAGCAAGACCACCTGCTCTTCTCTTGTTCTGCTCTATTCTGTAAATGCAAGACTCACTCATCAAGACATAAACAGGAATCCCACCAGCTTTAAATGATGCACACTTTTGTACACTGTTTTTTATTCCCAGCACCCCCTGCTCTAAAGCTGTCTGTGAATGAGACGTATGTGGTGGACCCAGGCCAAGACGTCACGCTGTCGTGTGAGGTAACAGCGGGCTTCCCCACACCTAGGGTCACCTGGTCGCGGTACCCTGGGTCCCTCCCTCAGCGCTCCGTGATCCAAGGCGGGTCCCTCACTCTCCGGTCCGTCACTCCCGCTGATGCCGGCGTCTACAACTGCACAGCCGTCAACAATGTGGGAAACCCTGCGAGAAGAACCGCCAACCTCATTGTGAGAAGTGAGTGTACTCGTTTTTACTATGTACTGACATTTGAGTTTGAAGGTAATGAAATAGAATTCAAATGCATTGGAAATTCATGTCACTTTAACTAGAATAGCAATGTTTGTAAATAGATGGATGCGTGGATGGACATAAAGATAGATAGATAGATAGATAGATAGATAGATAGATAGATAGATAGATAGATAGATAGATATGTGGGGTGTGGCCAATTCAATTTACACTTGTGAATTAAAAAGGAGCCAGTTTAGTTCTGAATTTTACACAACCCTGGTTTGAAATCAGTCTTTATTTCTGCAGTTCTGTTTGGTGGCACAGAAATCACTTCACCTTTATTGGCTGAAATATTAGTTACATCTCAAGCCATCAGATTCAATTTAAGTTTACACATTCCTCAGACCGCTTGATTGACACGCATTTGAATGAGTTATGACTTCTTGTCTGTCCCGCGCTTAGCACAAAAATTGCAGAGCCAGATTTCTTCATATGTATGCGTGGGAGCGTGTGTTTATGTGGCGTGAGCATGAGTTAGTGGTTGAACTGTAATTAGCTCTCTTGGCAGTGTGTGATCATGTTAAACTCCTCAAGCCGAGAGGGTGATACAGGAACGGCTGCCATAACGCCTGCCATTCATCAGGGCCTGGAGCTATTCTTAGCTTCTTTAATCATTTTTATTTACTCCAATTAATTTGAGAGGAATGGAGGTAATTAGCAGTAGAAGTGTCTTATTTCGGAATGAGCGAGGTGCACGCTGAATCCGTCTCTGTTGACGGTAATGAGCTCGCTTTGTGTCAAACACACACGCAGGTGCCGCGGACGCCTGAGCGCAGCCAATCATCCAGGTAAGGCAGCCGTCTGTTGAAATGCGGGGCGCTGAACATATGGCGCTAAACTTTCTGTCTCCACCTGCAGGGTCGTTTTTCACACTGTCAGAGCGTAAACACGCGGCTAAGCTGTTATAGTTATGAATAGTGCTCCAGTACTAACAAATTACAGCAGTATGGCTGTGTGGGGGTTATGGATCCTCTAAGCGTCTTCAGCTGTGTTTGTGATATTGCCTTTAAGCTCATTATTTTCATCTTAAAAAGCAGTTTATGACTGAGTCATTATTTTGATCATGTAAATTGTACTTTTTTCCCCCTCATGAATGCATTCAGTGTTTGCAGTAAAGCAGACCTCTGAGATGGTTTCATGTACAGTGACAAAACTGACACTGGAAGGCAGGACTGTATTAATGTTCCTCAAAAATAGGGTTTCTTCTAAACCTAAATTTTTAACTTCTGAAATTAAATAAGTTAAATCCGCTCCCGTACAGACTGCATTCAGTCTTTGTCTTGTTGATCATTTGAGTCTTAGATGTGCTGTCTATTTGTGTGTTTTTTATTATAAACTTTATACTTTTTCAGAAACATAAGATTAAATAGAATTTCTACATTTAGGACTGTTCAGTTGTTTCAGTGTTCTAAATGTAACTGACAATGATGATGCCATTGCAATATTACATTTTATAAAGACTATGCGTTTATTTCTGTTTACACGA